AGTGATTTGCAAAGATGACCACCATTGAAAGACAACCCACGGRTGCTTTACTCCATTGACATGTTGAAGCAACGGCCCCCGGATCAATGTAACCCACTAGTTCGTAAAAAGGGCGAACGATGCAGCAAAAACAAAATTCTAGATACTAAATAAAGAAAGTTGTTCAAACAATATATCAAATTCTTTTATTTTGTTGCAAGTGACCTGTGAGTATGCAAAATAGTACCAATAAAGAAGAAACAACATTTTTACAGAATGTTTTTGCATTAAAATTCAGCCTTGTAATATACCATAAATAAAATCAATTTTAATTAAATTCATTCACTTTTGTGAAATCTTTTTATCAATAAAATTCAACTTTTATGAATTTGTTCCCCATGACGTTYATGTAACTTAATTGTGTAAGCACAACTGTAAATCAAAACGATTGAATGTTTATACACTCTGCAAGAACAAAAACTAAATCGTATTGTTTTAATACTTATCAAATTATTATTATGCTTTTTTATTGGCGTAGACACCGCTTACGCGGTTATAATCTACTTTACAATAGGCCGCTCCATTGTCGATTGGAGAATCGGGTTCACAGTCTCCAGGTGTTAAGCTTTCACTGTTTTGACTTTGCAGGTTAGAGATGTGTTCCCTCCATAATTTCAATCAAGCACTTCGTGCTCACGCATTTTGGCCTGTGTCTTTTTTGTCTGCAAATGCGTCCCGCTTCCCTCTTCAACTATCAGTATCTATCCCATCCCGCACGTGTTGTGGTAGATTGTAACATTGAGAGGTAAGCAATCTAATTTCTTTCCACTGCGACATGGCACTCCTCATCGTACCAATGGTTTCGTTTGCAGCTGTTCATAAGGAGTTTGAAATGCCGTGCCAAAATTCCCTTATACAGAGTTTCTGAAGAGTGTAGGAGTGAAAGTCGATTAGAAAATCGTTCGTTCGACTGTCTGTTGTGATTACTGCTTTTCGACGTCGAACCTTCCTTGTGTTTGCGGAATGAATTTTCTTGTGATGGAATCTAGCACTACAGATAACCACATTTCGGCCCCCGACGAAATCGTTGGGCGCTGAATTTACCGATCTCCTTTGCTTACCCTGGGGTTAAAGTCGCCAAGCACGCATCATACTATATATAATTAATATATTTGGCTATTTCAAAAATAAAATAACACAAATATATTAAGATGGCAGAAAAAAACAACGCACAGTTTGCTATCAATTTTTCCAATATTCTTAGCTTTTTCGCACACTTTTTCACATTACAATCAATTATTGCTTTTAATTTCACTCTATTATCTTTGAAAAAAAATCAGTTSAAGTTAGATACTGATTTTCCAAAAATACTAAAATTTCTAATACTTATTTCTCTTATTCATTTTTATTTCACTTTTTTTTAAGTTACAGACAATTTTTGTGACTTGAGATTATTTTGCTATTCTGTAAGCGACAGTCACAAAATAATGTTTACGAAATTTATGTAATATTGATTTATTTTTAACCTTTTCGTGTTTGAGTTTCTTACAAAATATAAAAAACGACAATCGATTAATATATATGATGATCTCTATTTAGTATATTMAAAATGGCAAACAAGAGTTATTTTTAGTTTTGTGACCTGCTAACCATCAGGTCAATATTTTGAGACTAATCCTAGAGACTGTTTAGTAAATAGTAACTAGACACAAATTGAGACTTTACGTCAAAATGTCTCAAATAGTGACTAGAGACTGCTTACRGAATTCCACTATAAGACAACCAACCAATTTGAACTAACATCGTCATCAATCATATGATTTCAAAATTGTCGTAACCTCTTATTCTATAAACTTATTCTATAAAAACTATTTATTAGTGACGAATTCGTTTAGCGCACTAAATGCACTTACACATACATATGCATATTATATGTTGTGTGGATATCGAACTCGTATTGCATTGGCCTTGCGAATTCAATGTCAAAACAGAAATAGCTTACTCGTGGAACCAAAGAGAGTTCCCCCATTGTCTACATATGTACACGGAAGTGATGGTAATTAAAGTACACCATTAGAGATTTTGTAAATAAGAAATTTTAGTACCGTTCCTAATGTGATGTATTTAACATCATACTTTGCATACAACACATTTTTCATATTTTTTTTTGTAAAATTACAAAACTGAGTTATTTGATATCACATACCTTTGGGATAACCAAAACATATTGTACTTTTGCGTAATATTTGTTTTGCTCGATCATAGCACTTTTCTAATCTAGAAAATGTAAATAAAATCAGTTGAAGTTAGAACTTAGTTGGAGTAAAAATATTTATCACAATAGAATTTACATATTATGTTTACGGGTAGGAGAAAATATGGACCGATTTCATCAATTCTTATCACCAAACCATTTTATGTCTTAAATAATATCTTAAACTGGGATTAGATAACCGTTAAAACAACAACAACGTCTTAAATAATTTGTCATTATGCAAATATAAATATAAAGATGCATTCAGAAAATTTGAAATTCGGTGAAATC